GGAGCGGGAAGCCCCCGAGTCAAGGGTGAAGGTGTGAGAGGCCGGAGCCGACGCGGTACCTGAGAGAGCAGACTCACCCGCACCTTAGGAAGCGGACTCACTAGCACCTAGAGCAGCAGCCGCACCTGTACCTGGAGCAGGAGACACACTAGCACCCCGAGCAGCAGCCTCACCAGCAGCTAGAGCAGCAGGCTCTATACCTGGGTCAGGCGGTACGCACAGGTGACCGGCACGGTCAGCACTAGTAGGCAATGCATACATGGTAGTGAGAATAGCATCATAGTCAAGAGCAAATATATCTACCCTCTACCTAAGCAACTCCACCCAGTCGGGGAGCTCAGCCTCGTCGCCAAACTGGGTACGCCAGGCATCGCTCAGACGGGCAAAGCAGCGGGACGGTGTGTGACTAGGCGTCCCACAAGGCTGACCAGTCCGAGCACCAGTGCGAATCACGTAAGAGCAGCGAACAGAACTGAGAGACCCTCTACTCTGAGCGTACCACTCACGAAGCTGCTGGGGCGTGAGAGACGCGCGTGGGCATCGCTGGAGTTGCATCTGGCTGCCGCCAGTAGAAGCAGGAGCAGGAGTAGCAGCAGTAAGGCAGGCAGCCAAGCAAGCAGCAGGCAGCGCGCTAGTAAGGCAGGGGCTCACCAGTGGTGGGAAGAGCAGGCTCGACGACTCGGCGACTCGGCGACTCGGCGGCACGGCGGCACTACAGCAACTGCGGCTCGGCGGCTGAGCGACCCGGCGGCTCGGGCGGCTGAGGTTGCGCTGCGGCTCGGGCGGCTCGGGCGGCTCGGGTGGCTCGGGCGGCTCGGGCGGCTCGGGCGGCTTGGGCGGCTCGGGCGGCTTGGGCGGCTTGGGCGGCTCGGGCGGCTCGCCTGAGTCGTCCCTCACTGTAATTCACGACACGTTGTCGACTACCTCCGTGCCTCCCGTCCTGTCGTCTTCCGTGTTTTGTCCGCATTGGTCACTCACCTGACTGCACCCCTGTCGTCTGTCTCAGCTCTGGTTACCACTGTCGCTGGCTTTGCCTCTTCCCACCACCTTGACTACGCCGCTCACTTGGTGAGTGGCCTTGCTCGTTCTCCGTCCTCTGGGGGTGCTCATGTCTTTCCCTTGGAGGTCTTGGAGGACAGGCAGTCCGAGCTTGGTTTCCTTGCGGCCGCTGTTCCTCATCTCTGCGCCATGCTGCTTGCTCCTGAGGGGGATCTCGATGCCCTTGACATCCCGATCCCTCGCACTCACGCTAAGGCGGTCTCGGGACCCTGGGCTTTGTACTGGATAGCAGCTAAGGAGGCAAAGATGGCATCTTCTAGGTCCACAGGCACCTACGTCGATGCCGTCCCACCACCTGGGGAGAACGTTGTCAGTGGCATGTGGCTCTACAATGTGAGAGTACGACGCCTTATGCTGGATTTGCTAGCTTGCCTAGACTTTGTTATGCTATTACTAGCTTAGCTTTGTTTTATCTTGCATGATTTTGCTTGATTTCCTAGGTTCGTTGCTTTTGCTATAATTATTATAGTTATAGGCTCCGAACTAGGTTGAGTGCACCGAATTTGAGCTTTTCGGTTGCCACTGAATCGCCTTCTACCGATTTCGGGAAGGACCCGTTCGGGATGCTTGGCGACCCGCGGAACCTTCTAGTAACCCCCGGGTTACTGTCTTTGTGTCGAGCCTATATAACCTCAACTTGTACCCAAGTGGATCATTTGATAGACTTATCTTTCCTGAACCAGATCCTCACACTTGGTAATCAGAGCGATTTTTCACGCGAGGTCTTCAACCGTTAAGTTCCGGCCTTTAAAAAACACGGAGGCGATGACGAAAGCGCCGATACGGGTATGTAAAACCAGTTCCGTGCAATTTTCCAAGTCCCCCTCGATCCGGTTTTCAAACACCCTTCATGATTATTTGGCAAAAAAAGTTGGAGTTTCGACCGTCGGATCGATTCGAATCTCAACGGCCCAGAGAATTTCGACCAAAGAGGTTGATTTGGAGTGTCGGATCAAGTTTCTCCTCAACAGCCGAGATCATACGCGAATTTCGACTAAGGGAGAATTGCGAGACGTACAAAATTCAAGCTCGTTGATTCTACAGTCAATTCGACTCGCAGTAAGTCGACCAGCACCTAGAATTCACTTATTTTCGTTGCACATCTTCCTGCAAATCGCCAAATGGAGGGAAATTGCGGAGTTATGTGCCGATCATAGGCAGATAAGTTCACTAGCAACTTCTGGAGGAACCTTTGGGAGCAGTTCGGGACAAGGCTACAGTTCAGCTCGTCGTACCACCCTGAGACCGACGGTCGAACGGAGCGGACGAATCAGACGTTGGAGCGGTTGATTCGTGCCACGTGCGACCACTCGACAACTTGGGAGCAGCAGTTGCCACTGATCGAGTTCCCCAACAACAACGCCACGTCAGCGACGACGCAACAGTCCCCGTTTTACCTAAAGTAGGGCAAAACCCAACAGTGCCCATGACGCCGAGCCCAGACCATCCGTAGCCACGCGCCCAACAATTTGCCGAGATTTTGCAAGCTGCCCGCACCAGAGCCGCAGAAGCAGTAAAAAAAGCAGATGTCATTGCTAAGCGCAACGCTGACCGCCACCGCCGCCCAGTCACATCCCAGTCAAGAGATTACGTACTGCTCAACACACAGAACTTACGACTGCCCGACGTACCAAAACTCCGACCCCGCTACTGTGGACCGTTCCAAATCAGCCACGTGATAACGCCAGTAACCGCCCATCCACTGTTGTCGACCGACTGGTACATCAGCCCATCATTCCATGTCAGCCTGCTTTGCCCATATGTCCCAACCACAAGCCAACTGCCTCGACACCGCCCGCCATCCATGACTCGCCCTACTTCGGAGCCGATCATAGAGCCCAAAAATATTCTGAGCCATCGGATTCAACACCCCACGGGAATCAAGAGGATCGAGTTCCTCGTCTGCTGGAAGGACCGCAAGCCAACTGAGGATAGCTGGTTGCCCCAGGCCAACATTGAAAACCACCCTGCCCTGCAAGTGTACCTGAGAAGCCTTGGTTTCCGCGATATACATGCACTCGCGTAGCGGAGGGGGCTTCTTGAGGGGGGGGGGGGGATAGTGTAAGGGATTTTCTCGACATTCCTTACCGTGACCTGCAACATCGCGTACAGCAGCAGCCGTTGTTTCACCAAACCATGCACCGTTGGCCCGGCTATGTTAGTCTACGCTTCGGGACAAGCCCGAGCCTCGATGCTAGCCTAGCACAAGCTAGCTCGCACGCATCGCGTTACCGTTTGCATGTTTTTGCGTATAACGCTCATGCCTTCGCTCACATTTTGTACTCGTTTGACACCTTAGTGCAATCCTCGCTACTTCGATCCATTGCACCCTTAAATAATCAAGAACAAACAGTACATTGATCATAACATAGCAGGGGTAAGCATACATGTATATGTATATAGATCGCAGTACAAGCAAAGTTAAGAAATGAGCAAGTGAGGCAAAGTAGGTACAAGGCCTAAAACAGTAAAAAAATGCAAATGATTACCAGGCTGAAGTGCCTTGGTGAATATATCAGCAGTGTTGGCCCGAGTGGCCACATAAGCAAGATGAAGCTGACCATACTGCTGCAACTCTCGAGTAAGGAAGTAACGCAGAGCGATATGTTTCGTCCTGTGCTCCAGTCTGTGCTCCTGACATAGGGCAATCATAGCCTTGTTGTCTGCGTACAGAACTGAAGGAGAACAAGGCTGCTCTCCCAAGTTGCTCAGCAGATAGGTGAGCCAGTGTAACTCCTGTGCGTAGATCTCAGACTCACAACTGGAACTGAGAACAGAAGACGAGCGGGTAGACCGCCAAGAAACAGAGCCGGAGCCAAGGCTGAAGGTGTAACCCTATGACGTGCGTAGCCAAGTCGTCAACCCAAGTCGCGTTTGCGTGTCCAGTGAGGACAACTCGACCCCGTCCTCCAAGCAAAGAGCCCCATGCCCGACGTACTGCACAAGTAGTGCAACACCCTCTTAGGGGGCCTTCATGTGCTCTGGTCGGTGTCTCCCAGGCGCAACGTAGCGTGCCAGGATGCTAAGAGGGTACAGTATGCAAGGTCAGGTCGAGTGCAGGTCATCAGGTACATGAGGCAGCCAACAAGCTCTGAATACAGGCCACTCAGCTCTACGAACTCGTCCAAAGGTGGAGCTGAGAGCGAGTGACCGGTAGGCAGAGGAGTGGACTGTGGCGAGGAGTTCCGAAAGCGGAAGCGCTGAAGGAGTTGGTGCACCATGTGTGACCGAGTCAGGGTGATGGTGCGGCGTGCTTTGTCCCGGGTAATCTGCAAGCCAAGATAGCTGCGCGGCTCACCCAAGTCTGTGCAGGTGTGTCTCTTTTGCAGCTCCGACTTCAAGGGCCATTGCCTCAGTGTCAGCAGTGGCAAAAACCAAGTCGTTGACGTACATGGGGATGTAGAACGGCAGCAGCAAAGTGTCGATGCGCAGAAACAGCGACGGGTCAGCAGTCGAAGGAGGAAACCCAAGAGCCGCAAGCGTCGTCCTCAGTGTGTTGTGCCACTCGCGAGGCGCCTGGTGGAAACCGTAGACTAGTCGCTGGAGGCTCCATTGGGTACCTGCACGAAACGACCCAGTGAAGCCAGGTGGGCGGCGCAGCCAGATCTCCTCGTGAAGGCTGCCTTGTAAGAAAGCTGTGCTGAAGTCAAGAGAGTGAAGCTCGTAGTTACGCTGAGCGGCTACATTCAGCAGCACCCAAAGAGTGGTCATCTTCGGGGTAGGAGAGAAGGTCTAGAGGAAGTCAACTCCTTTTGCTGACTAAAGCCTTGTGCAACGTAACGAGCCTCGAAGACAGGCGGAGAACCTGGCGGCCGCTTTACTCTGAAAATCCACATGCCATCGACTATGTTCGCCCCAGGAGGCGGAACTGCGTCGACGTAAGTGCTTGTGGATTTCCAGAATGCCATCTCTGCGTCCATAGTTACCTGCCACTGAGAAAATTAAAGACTCGTAATCGCCTCTGCGTAAGAGCGCGGGGTCGGGATGTCTCGTGCATCTGGGTCTCCCTCAGGAGCAAGCAGCATGGCTACGAGATGAGGTACAGCAGCCGCAAAACACTCAAAGTCTTCTTGCCTGTCCTCAAGGACGTCCGTGCCAAGAGCACACTCACCCCCGACAGACGGAGGACAGATAGACTCAGAATTAGCAACAAGACTAGCGGCGTAGTCGAGACAACAGGCGGCAGCAAATTCAACAAGCTCATCAACCGGGGCAGACGTAGCAGCGGACTCAAACGAAGGGTTAGTGACAACAGAGGCTAGAAGACGTGTGACAGTAGGATTGGCAGCACGAACTAAGTCAGACTCGGGGTCCGGACCGTCAGCAAGAGATGACGCAGGCGGGACACGCTGAGGAACAGAGGAAGGATGAAGTGCCATAGTGTGCGTGCCGGGGACAGGAGGAGGACGCTAACGAGAAACACGGCGACCCGTGCGAACATCGCAAACAGGCGAGGCAGGACGAGACTTAGGCTCACGGCGCTCTGTAAGAGAGGCTGTGTCCTCAGTGTAAGGAGAAGGAGCAGGCAGTGGGGAGTCAAGCTGTAACTGCGGCTGCGACTGGTCAAGCGGTGGACATAGTAAGGGAGGAGTAGGGCCAGTAGAAGATGGGAGACTACGAATCTGGCGAAGTACCGAGTCAGGTGGCGGCAGAGACGACGGCGACGGCAGAGCGAAAACGGTCGCCGCTGCACACTGCCTCCTGCACTAGTACCACCAGCTCCAGCACCCCCAGCGCCAGCACCTCCAGCTCTAGGGTCGCCAGCTCCAGTGCCGCCAACTCCAGTGCCTCCAGCTCCAGCATCTCCAGCGCCAGCACCTCCAGCTCCAGTGCCTCCAGCTCCATCGCCTCCAGCCACAGTGCCTCCAACTCCAGTGTCTCCAGCTCCAGCACCTCCAGCGCCAGTTTCTCGAGTTCCAGTGCCTCCAGCTTCAGTGCCGCTAGCTCCAGCGCCTCCAGCTCCAATGCCTCCAGCTCCAGCGCCTCCTGCTCCACGGTCTCCAGCTCAAGTGCCTCCAGCTCCAGGGTCTCCAGCTCCAGTGCCTGCAGCACCACCAGCTCCGGCAGCTCTAGTACCTTCAGTACGAGCACCTCCGGGACCAGCAGCGCCAGCACTACTAGCACCTCTAGCTCCAGGAGCACCACCAGCCCTGGCAACTCCAGTGCCTCCAGTACGAGCACCTCCAGGACCAGCAACTCCAGCAACCCCAGGACCTCCAGCGCTAGCACCTCCAGCGCCCCCAGCTCCAGCACCTCCAGCAATAGTGCTTCCAGCGGTAGGGCCTACAGCTCCAGCTGCACGACTTCGAAGGCGGGTGCGCCAAGCAAACCACTCGCGCAACTGCTGTGGCGAAAGAGGCTCCCGACAGCGACACCGCCGTGACGAGGCACCCAGAGGACCTCCAGCAGACGCAGTACCCCTAAGCTCAGCACCCCCAGACTCGGTACCCTCCAGCTCAACACCCCTAGACTCCGCACCTTCAGGCTCAACACCCCGAGGCTCCGCACCCTTAGACTCAACACCCTCAGGCTCAGCACCCCCAGGCTCCGCACGCACAGGCTCAGCACTCCCAGGCTCCGCACCCGCAGGCTCAGCACCCCTAGACGCGGTACCCCAAGCAGCACCACGCCCAGCAGCACCACAGTCGCTAGTGACCTCGACAGGCTCAGCCAAGGGGAGTGGGTCTACCTGAGACACACCTGAAGGAGTAAGGCCCTAAGGGGGAAAGAGGTCTACCAAAGGAGGACCTAGAGCGAGGAAGAGCGGCTGGGGGGGAGAGGGGCCGTGCGGTAGGGGAAGAGAAGGTAAAAGGGAACCGACTCGTCAAACGTGACGTCCTCAGAGGACAGAACACGGCGCGAGTTGGGGTGGTAAAACTGCCAGTCAGGCTCGTCATGGGGAAAGCCAAGGAAGACACAGGGAATGGCACGAGAGGATAGCTTGTCCGCGGAAGTATCGCGGACCAAGGCACGAGTGCCCTAGACTTGGAACACCGACGCATCGCCAATCTCCCCTATCCAACGCAGTGTAGGCGAGGTCTCCTGCAAGGAGACACAGGGCCAAAGGTTTAGCTGATGCGTAGTGTACCGGTCCACAAACGGCCACAGAAAATGGGGAGCAGCCGCACATATCATGGAGGTACGAGCCACCTCCATGACTAGGCCAATGCGGCGCTCAGCAATCCCATTCTACTGCGGGGAGGCCAAAAGCGTGAACGACTGGAGGATGCCCTCCCCACGACTGGAGGATGCCCTCCCGAAGAGGTCGGAGGAGAACTCACCACCTCTGTCATATTGTAGTCACGGGACAGGAAGGTGGAGACGGACTGCGCGGATCCAAGGGACCAAAACACCAGGGACCTCACCCTTGCTGCGCAAGGGGAAGACTGTGGTGTTACGCGTGTAGTCGTCAACATCCAGTAGAAAGTACCGCTTGCGGTCCTGTCCACGGACGCGGGCCGGGCCCTACACGTCCATGTGGAGAGTCTGAAAGGGAGCAGTCGTCGGGGGAAACGAGGAGGAGTGAGGAGCGGTGCGCTGCCGCCCCTCGACGCAAGGAGGGGAGGGCGGGTTAGGCGAGGTCGGGAGGGGAGGCAGAGACTTGGGAAGACCAGAAACAAGGAGGCGGGATTGCATGCCACGGAGGCGTGGCAGGGAGGGGTAACCAAGGCGGTGGTGCCAAAGGAATGTCTGGTGCGACAGGAGGCGACACGAAGAGGGGGCGGCTACCTGACCTTACGCGGACACCTGACAAGAAGCAGCTACATGAGCAGGCTCAGTAGTAAGTGTGTACAGACTCGACCCAGGCAGACGGGTGAACGTGGCCAGGTGACGGCCGGTCCGTGTACACGTGCAGATCACCACACGCTGACCTCCAGTAGTGGTGGTTGTGACCATCGCATCCTAGAGGGCAGCGGTACTCACCAAGTTTGTAGAGAACGAGGGGAGGTGAAGACCTAACAGTGAGCCGGACGGAACCGCCGGACACAGGAGAACAGGGGTGGAACGTGCAATAATTGGGCCCCTTGAGGGGTCAGCCACTCTGACTGCAACAGGTGCAGGGAGTGGTATGACTGTGGTACTGTCGCGAAAGAAACAGTGGGAAGCACCTGAGTCAAGCGTGAAGGTGTGCAAGGCCCCAGCAGGTGTAGTATCAGGGAGAGCAGACTCACTAGCACCTAGAGAAACAGCCTCTATACCTAGGTCGGGCGGCACACACAGGTAACAGTCACCCTTACCACTAACAGTCAAAGAATACATGGCAGCAAGGATAGCATCATAGTCAAGAGCAAAGATATCAACACCAGACCTAAGCACCTCTAGCCAGCGGGGGCGCTCAGCCTCGTCGCCAAACTCTGCGCGCCAAGCGTCGTCAAGGCGGGAGAAACTTCCCGCATGTCTGACCAGCGCGGTCACTTGTGCAAATGACATACGGGCAGCGAACACTACCCGTAGACGCCCCACGCTGAGCAAACCACTCACGAAGCTGCTGGGGCGTAGGGGTCTCGCTCGGACGCTGCTGTTGCTGCCTCTGGCCACCACCAGAACCTCCCCTTTGAACAGCTCCACCCCTACCGCCACCATTGCCGCCGCCACCACTCCCACTGCCGCCACCACCGCCACCACCACTCCCACCGCTGCCACCACCGCCGCCACCGACGCCCCCACTCGCCACCACTCCCACCGCCACCTCCGCCACCACCACCGCCTCCACCGCCTCCAACATGACCACCCCCGCTGCCACCTCCACCACTCTTGCCTCCCTTGCCCTTGCCGCTGCGGCGCTTTCCACTAGGAGTAGAAGCAGCCCTGACCTCCTTAGCACCAAGGACGTCAACAGAAGCAGCAAAAGCGTAGGAGGGGGCAAGGGGGGAGGGGGAACACCCCTCAAAGAAGGGTGTGCGAGGAGTGCCACGAGCAGCACCTATAGTGACTATGCTAGTCTCAGCTGCAAGGAGGTGCTTCTCGAGCAGTTCGACATTGAGGTCTGTGGGGTCAAGTGCGAGAAAGTGGTCCCAGGCCGTGCAAAGAGAGTCAGGGAGGCGGGTGACTAAGGAGTAGAGAGTGATGTACATCGGGGGCGGGTTCTTGTCTAGGAACTCGGCTTTAAGGGCAGCGCGGTAACGAGTGTCACTAGTGCGAAGGTGGGTGATGAGGTCCTCGACTCTGGCAAAGGCTGACAGCTCAGGAAAAAGGTAGTGCAGCATAAGGCGGCCGAGAGCAGCAGTGGCAAGGGAAGAGTAACAAGCGACTACAGCATTGTACAAGGCTTTAGCAGTCTTGTGCTGGCCAAAGTGAATGCGTTCGGCTAACGGCAGGTGGTTGCGAACGGCTAAGCGAGCAACAACTGTTGAGAAATAGGAATGACTAGAAATGGAAAGTAAAAATATATAGGAAACCTAACCCTAACCCCGACAAGTAGAAAGTACACCTAGACTAATAATAGAAGCTAAAACAAATATAGCTTGACACACCCCCATAGTCTAGGTGACGGAAGTCCTGTGGAGAGCAAAAACACAGCAACGGTCACATGACCAATCAGCACATACAAGCAACGGTCACAAGACAAGTTCACAATAACAAAACGACTCTCGGGGTGGATCTCAATATCACCACGCAGTCCGAGAACAAACATGAGGCCACAAGGCCAGTCCACATGCAGGTATAGCAGATATAAGATATGCAAGAGTACACGATATGCATAACAAGCATCTCTACAAAAGCAAGGGGCCACAAGGCCTGTCCACAAACACACCCATATGATGTATAGTGAGATGCAAGTGTTGTTTAGGATCCGTCACTTTGAGAACTTACGACGAACTCATTACTCAATTAAACGCAACTCCGCTCGGTAGGGTTGTGCGCCTTAGACTTAGCTATCATCTCCAAGTCGAATCAGACGTTAAGATGGTCTAGAGAGTGAGAGCCATGTAAAAACGTCCAGCAGCCGCATAACTAGAATGGTGGAAGAAGTACAAGCATTAAGGCATAGGAAGTTGGAGTTGGGGACTTCAAGAGAACCATGAGAGGGAAGGGGTTCTCCAAGAGCTAGGGAAGGATGGTAGGAACCTTCTTAGCAGCAAGGATGCAACCCTCATCATGAGGTCCTTGAGGTGTCACATGCAAAATCCAATCTAGTTGGATTTTGGCTTTATGTTGCAACATTTGCAACCCATGCTAGAAACTTCTAGCCACCCCAATCCAAAAGTCAAAGTTGCCTTCCCTGACCACCCAACCAAAGATCCCTTTATAGTCATGTCCCAAGTAAACACCCAAATTAGATATAACCCCAAAAGTTAATAAGAAATCCAAGTCTTGGAAATCTTGTAACTTGGGCGATCTTGGTCGGAATAAGGCGATCTTGGTATCGTTGGAAAGCTCTGGATTTCTCCTGCATGATCAAGCATTTAGACTTGGAGAAAAACACAGAGATGACAATATCCAACAGCCATGCATAATGACATATGCTCATGCAAATCATGCAAGCACAAATAGCACGAGCACTCGGCAGGACGTTAGGATGACATGCACTCAGAATGACGTGCATCCAACAAACTCCCCCTCAGACTTACGGACTGCATGCACATATACTCACACAAATGCTAACTCTCATGCACACAATCACACATGCAGTCATGACACTGCTGCCACACTAGTGCAATGCCATGCCACACATCTTAGCACACTTCCAATGTGCGCTCTGGGGAAGTCTCTTGGTGAGAAAATCTGCCGCCTGCTTGCTAGCCTTCACATGGTGAAGCTCAACAATCCCTTCCTTTACCATCTGCCTCACCCAATGCCACTTAATCTTCATGTGCTTGTTTAGCCTATTGAGGATAGGATTATTTGCCATGCTAATAGCAGCCTCGCTATCGGAGAAAAGTGGTGTAGGTCTTTCCTGTTCTGCTCCCATGTCCTCCAGCAGCTTCCTCGGGAGCACGATCTCCTTGATGGCATGGTACATCGCCATGTACTCTGCCTCTCCGGAAGACTGAGCAATCTCACTCTGCTTCTTGGACCTCCAGCTTACTGGTCCACCTCCGACCATGCACACAAAACCGCCAACCAGTGACTGATCCTCATCCTCTGAGACCCATGTGGCGTCGGTGAAGCACGACAGCTTCAAGGTTCCAGGCGTGACCCCATCTGCTCCAATCTGTTTCAGCTGGCCACCAGCTGAACACTGAACACCAGCAGATGCCGTTGATCCGAGGTAGCGCACCAAGCGCTTTGCCACCTCCAATTGCTCCTAAGTGGGCCGCTGCACAACTCTGGCCAGCTGCCCCACTCCGAATGAAGCATCAGGTCGCGTATGCACAGCTGCATACATCACACTCCCAATGAGTGACTGGTTCTCATTCTGCTGCTCATCCTCGAGTACATCATCCTCCTCAGCTGCCTTCTTCAGTTTGAAGCCCGCAGGGAACGGTGTCATCACAGTGCGACCCCCAGTCACACCATAGCGCTCCATGACACCAGAGATGTAGTGTGACTGATGCACCTTCAGCCACCTCCTCTCAACATCCCTCTCAATCTGCAGCCCCAAGTAGTAATGGACATCCCCCAGCATCTTGCACTTGAAGTTGTCCATCAGCAGCTTCTGTGTCCTCTCAATCTGCTCCATGGAGGGTGAGAACAGCAGTATGTCATCGACATACACCAGCAGCAAAAGCAGCTGCTCCCCCTCTCCAAGCAGAAACAAACTGTGATCCTCCTGGGATGTCTTGAAGCCTCCACTCAGCAGCACCTCCTCCAGCTTCTCGTACCAACACCTGGGCGCTTGCTTAAGGCCATAGATAGCCTTCTTAAGCTTGCACACCCGGCTGGTCCCATCCTCATAGCCGTCGGGCTGCGCCATGTAGATATCTTCCAGCAGTATTCCATTGAGGAACGCAGTGGTGATATCCATCTGCTTCACGTGCCATCCCTTCACAGCTGCGCCAGCCATCAAAGTCCTTAGTGTCACTGGCTTAGCAACAGGAGCGAAGATCTCCCCAAAGTCGACCTTCTCTTTCTGGTGAAACCCCTTTGCGACCAAGCGGCTCTTGAACCGCTCCAACGCACCATCAGCTCCACTCTTCACCTTGAAGACCCACTTGCTGCTGATCGGCCGTCGCCCCTCGGGTAACTCAACAAGCTCCCAAGTCCCATTCTCA